TGTTTTTTTTTTTTTTTTTTTGACAGTGAGTGTTTCTTTAAGCTGCCCCACCTTGGTTGGAAGTCGGAGCCCTCTGAGCCCTCTTGCCCTCTTGCCTTGGCCTTCCTGAGTGCTGGGATTACAGGCATGCACCACCACTCCCACTTCATAACTTAACTTGTAATTATTTTAAAGCCTATCCTTGTTTTTCCTAAAACTAATTCAACATGTTTGTAATTTAATCAGCTTAAAAGGTTTTTAAAACATCAGGTGAACCATGTTTATTTAAAATATTTATAGACAATACGGCATAATACGCTTCCCCTCTTTCAGAAACAGTGGTAAATTTAAAGTGTAATCGTTTTTTGATTGAGTTTATTGGTATATTTTAGGTATACAGTACAGTACAGTTATTAAAGTATAATCTTAAATACCATTATCTGTCTATTTTTAAATATTTTTGAAATATTTGCTTATCTTATAATGTTAGCAAAATCTCTGAAGTGAGAGCTTAATCATGACTATAATTTAATTAGCCTGCTAAAGCTATTTTTAAAGAGAAGCATAAATGTAAAATGGAAAGGAATCCTGTTTAAAATTATACATAATTACTTTATAAATCTACTCCCTCTACAACCAACCAAAATTTATAATATTCTATAATAAAATGATGTATAACATTGATGTTCTCTTTTGTGAAGAATAGGCCTTTTTTAATCTCATTTGACATTGTACTTCTCATTTCCAGTTGCACAGGATGAGAATATTTTGACCCAGTCATTTCCTGTTTGAGGACATAAACAGTTCACTATCTAAAAGAAGAATATACAGTTTTAACTTGCTGATACAGAAATAATTGATAATTTATCTTTCAGTGTAATAGACATGCATACAGTATATATTATGTATTTTCATATACATTAAAATCCCAAACTGCTTTTTAGTATCCATTAATTTTTCCTTTGTCTAGGTTCCTTTTAGGTTAGATTTAAGCTAATACTTTTCTTGATTTTTTCAAGTACAGTTTTATTGAACATTCTTATCCACTGCCATTTTCCATTCTTTTACATTACAAATTTTATTTATAATGAATTAGTATGATTTTGAATAAAACCACACTAGAGCAGTATTAATAGGTTCTTAGAATTTATGACCAATATAAACTTCTTACATAAGAGGAATAGAAAGTTTATTTTAAAAACTTCTTGATCCATGTCTACCTTCTGTTTTCTATAAGGTCTTAATGTTTTTTACTTTTGCTACATAAATTATGTCCAGTGATAGTTTAAAGAGTAAAATTAAAATGCTAGCAAGGTGGCATTACACAAATCTTAACGTAATACCTGGAATCTTTGCCCTAAATGGTTCTATTTTGTCCCTATTTTTTCGTCCTTCATGATATCAGATCACATATCATACATACTTAAAAGATTTTGAAGATGTATACTCAGGATTGCTATGATCTCTAAAAATTTTGCTTATCTTAAATACTCTGTCAAGCAAATATTTATATTTAACCTATTTGCAAGAGAAAATCTTGCAATTTAATCACCTATAACTATACCTTTGGTAAAGCACAATGACTGAAAAACAAGCTTCTCCTTAACTGTCCTAATAATATATTATTTATATTATGATCAAGCCTTCTAAAGGCTATAAATCTTAACAAAGCCAAATAGAATTTAACCCATGTGAATGAGTTTATGTGTATAAGTTTATATGTGCTTATGTGTGTATTTATGTACATTGATTTAAAAGTTCAAGAAATATATACATTTCTTTTATGGCCAGCCTACTTTTGAGCTAATACCACTGAGATAATCAGCTTATTTTTCCAGAATTGAAAAATTTGAGAAGATAATAAAAACACCAATCTATAATATTAATTTTGCACCTACTCAAAATGTATTAGCTTATATATGCCAATTATAAAAACTTTATGGAGTTTAAGAACAGTCTTTGGCATTGCAGGTATAGGTCAGTGGCAGAATACACATACACAAGGACCTGGATTCCATTCCCATCAAAAATAGTGGTTCTGAATGATGAGACTTTGGATATTTTTATTTTTATTATTTTCTGTTTTTTTTTTTTCAATGATGAGCATTTAATTCTAAAATTAGAAGAAAATTATAAAAAGTTATTTAAAGATTTAAAATTACATCAAAAGCATTACCATAATAACTTTTGTAAAATCACTTTTATTACCAAAGATCATAATATATTTTGGAGTCTTTTGATCTGCCAGTTCTTTTTATTCAAGTATGTGATTTGGTAAAGCTAAAAATAATTAGGCCCTTTTTTTCTTTCAGTGTTTTGTAGTATAACATAAGAGTATGGACTTTGTGGTAACTTAGATTCTAAGCCTATAAATTGGGCCTGTTATACTGCCTCATGGAGTTGCTGTATTTAGTGAAATATTATTCACTTCGCATTTAGTAATTAACAAAACAACTACTTAACAGCTTTTAATAATGGTAATAATTTGTGACCACAGACACACATGGCTTGACATTTCCTTTGCAACTGCACTTTCTAAAAGAAAACATTTCTCTACATCTATCTGATGTTAGTATTCTCTGTAGATGGTGTTGAAGAGAAAGACACTTTTATAATAAAACACATTGCTATTTATAACCAATATTACAAAGCATACCTACAGTTGTATGAAAAATTTTTAAAAGCCTTTCTAGAACTATGCATCCAGTCATACTTGTATTCACCTTAAACCACAACCTACAAATGTGCTCAACAGCTTGAACCCAAATAGTATCTTAACCAAAAAGATTCACTGTGCTGGTGCTTTACAGGATCCCCAAAGTGCTTCATATGTACTGCCTCCAGTGAGCTTCAGATTAGCCTTGTAATCCGGACAGGTAGTGTTGGTTCCACCTGTTGGAGAGGACACGGCTTTAGAGTAGGAGTGGTGTGTCTGAGGGTCAGAGAGCTCCCAGAAAGAGGCTGATGCCCAGACCAGGTCCTGGAGCCAGCGGAGACTTAGTGCTGACAAGTGACTGAAGGGTGAGAAGTGAATGTCAGGACTTTGGTTCAGGAAGCCTCTTAATTCCTGGTTCTATGAAATACAGAGTAGAAACAAACTGCTAAAGGAAGAGTACTGTAGACATTTTAAGCCTTCAGATTAGGGAATAAGAGTAGTAAGTATGTCCATTGAGTCCTTGGTATTCTGTCAGTGCTTTGTGTGTACTAAGTCATTTCGGCTTCAGCACAGCCTCACGAGTGAGGTACCATGTTCCCTAGTTCACCAATGCAGAAACAGAACAGCAGTAAGTACAATCATGGTCACACATGTAGGCAGCGGCAGAGCTGCCTTGTGAGTCTGCTCACCTACTTGTTATACTGCTTCTCAGAGAGTCCCTTTTTTCAAACAAATCTTTCATAGTTTTATGAGGTTAACTCTTCAAAGAACCCGAAAGTTATAACTTCATCATATAGTCCTATCCAGGCCTTGGATTTGTCTGCATAGTTGTTTCCCAAAAGATTTTTTTGTACTGCTGTCCCTGAATTTTGGACATGCATAGTTTTTCTTAGCAGGTGGATGTAATAAAGGAATACCTGTGTTGGTTCCAGCAGTGCTGTTTCCGTTGGTCTTCAGTGGCAGTTGAGACTTTGTCATAAAGAAGAACTAAATTCTAAGCACAAGACTGTCTCGAGTCCTGAGTGTATTCCTATTTAAGACAGTTTGTTTCATTAGCTAAAGCAAGCTCTAGAAATATAGTCTTTTGCTTTCTTCCAGCATAAATAAT